GGGGAAAAGCAAGTCTCAGTCTGAGATTCGGTTGCTTTGAAACTATCACTATATATACTATTTTCTTTCTCCTCTCTCTTTTGCAAGGTTAAACAGTTGAAATTATCGACAAGTCTTCGCCGTTAGAGTTCGCTGTAAATCAAGAAAGGACTTGGTGCGTTTCGAAACGCAGCGAACGGTTTATGTGTCTTCGCCGCGATTTTTTGCGGTAAGCAAGTTCCGTGGCAGATAAAGTCGGAGACCGGTGGTGGGCTAGGCTAGGAGAAATTGTTTCATAAATCACGCGTTACGTTCGCGTTCTCTTGCCTCCTTCCTCCCACACACCCATGCCCGGCTTCCTCCTGCTGTGCAGACCTCGTTACTTTTAGCGACCGACGCATCATCCTCGCGAGTCCCGGCGACCCACCGCCCCTTTTTCTCCCCTTTGGAGCGAGCCTTTCAAAGGACTCTTATTCCCCCGTCCAATGGAGACGATAACGACCTCCGTGGACAATGAGCCTGAGGAGGCCTGTGCACAATGCGCGAACCCGCGACCAGCGAGATTGGAAAAATCATCGGATCGGTCGCCATTGTTGTGCCCTTCGCCGATTGAATACTTTACACTCGCGGGATCCAGCGGTGTTCAGGACAACCCGAGAGGTTCACACTGCAATTTCGATCGATTTGTTTCCGTTGAAGAAGACCAAAAAGAGAAGAAAAAAAGAAAATTCCCTCTCGATCAGGGAGAGGTAGGTTAAAATTGTTAACGAAGGGTCGAGGCACCGCCGATCGGTCGATTAGTTCTCGAACGATCGGCTTTGGCGTTTGGCCGCGGAAACTCGGGAAACCGCGGTGGATACATCCGGAATTTATCGGATTTCACGCTCTCCGTTTTCGAGTTTGTGCTCTCTGCTATTTGCCAGCGTCCAGCTTATTCATTCGTCGATGCTTGTTGACAAAAACAAAAAAAAAAAAAAAAAAAAGAAAAAAGAAAGAAACAAAGGCTTAAACAGAGTTAATCGGCGAGTGGGTTGTTGGTCGTCGAGAAACAACTCGGTAGCTTCTTCCTTTCGCGACGAAATGGAGTGACGACGGCCGGAGAACGGTAATCTGGACATTGTCTGGGTTTAATTGAAGCCGGGACGATTTCAGAACTTGCTCGTTCTCGCCTCGTCGTGGAAACGATAACGAGCCAGCCGCTTCTCCGACGTTCCCCTTTAATCTAATTGATCCCCCGGCGAGAAGTTCGATCGACTCGGCGAAACGAACATTCGACATTCTCGAGTGTCGAGCAGGGGGGTCAGACAACCCGTCTTTTTCTATCCGTTGCGCGGGAATTCCAATTGCGCTGATGAAGGAAGAGGCTTTCGCAAGAAATTCAAAAACAGAGTTGTGCAAAGCGTGATTTGATTATGATTAATCTGGAATCCGGATATTAATCGTGATTATTGATTATCAATTAATCAGTAATCACTCTCAATGAATAGAGAAAGTATATCGAAATCAATGTAATCAGAAATTAATCAAACGATTAATTTAATAATCATCAGTCATAAAATGATAATATTTATCTCTTGAAGACAAAGACGAATTGATCTATCGGATGGAAACGATTTCCCAACATGTTAACAAAGTCTGATAGTTGGGACATGGAACGCTCTCTATAATTCACAATCAGAAGATTAAGTTAGATTAGTTACTTGGCAACGAAAAGAGAGAAAAGAAAAAAAAAACAAGAACAAAACACGTAATATGCGTGTTTATTCATTATAGGGCTGCATCAGTTCCACTCTTTAGAGAACATAAATATATATTATCTATCTGCGATAAAAGATATAATTTTCGAATCTATACTAACGTTATGTCCTATGTTAGCGGAAAGAGAAAAAAATAGAATACGTAATGTGTCTACTTACATAGCTCTACTCTTTCATTAGAAAACATAAATACGAATTAACTGTGATTAAATGAAGGATTAATTTTCGAATCTATCGATGTCGAATTAACCAAATTAACAGAAAAGAAGAAAGAAAAAAAAAACACGTAATGCGCCTGTTCATCTATTACAGGCTGTATCAACTGCACCCTTTCATTACGAAACATGAATTATCTGCAATTAAGATAAAAGATATAATTTTCGTATCTATCGATGTCGAACCACCAGAATTAGAACAGAAAAGAACACATAACGCGTGTATTCATCTACTATAAGGCTATATTAACTCCATTACAAAACATACTAGCAATTACGAAGAACACGTAAGATATTAATACTAGAACTACCAACGAATAAAATTTCCATCAGAGGCATTGAAGTCCAAAAAATAGAGAACTTTTATAATACATAATGGAGTACACAAACTTTGATCTGTATATTTTACGAAGAATTATGTAAGAATCTTTAGATATACGCCGTTCCACCGTCTCTATGAAATATATCCAACAAGAATTATGTCAAAAATGTCAACCACTCTGGTAGCTCTAGCGTTGTTCAAAGTCCCAGCGTGACTTTAAACAAAAAAGAAGAAAGTTCCTGTGAAAACAAGAAAATCTCGTAAGCAGCCTGTCCGTCCCAGTTACTAATCAAAATTCGGTTAGGTCAGTGACAATCGCCGCTCGTAAATCAAAATCGCATCGACCGTAATTAATCGCGCGCGCGAGAGAGAAAGAGAAAGAGAGAGAGAGAGAGAGAGAGAGAGAAACACGGTCGCACTTTCTCCTCTCGCGGAGATGGAAAACATCTCGCGGCGTGCATTGCGTGGCAATTCGTCGTGTCGTGTCGTTATCAGTCATAATTGGCCACTTTCACCGCCGTGTCACCGCGACTGTCACGCTCGAATTTGTCGAGCTGCATGATGGACGAACGAATGAACGAACACATATGTATGTATGTATGTATGTATGTATGTATGTACTTGGCGGATAAGCGTCGAGGCCGAGGAACCACGGCGACGATAACTTTCACCCTTTATCGCGAATCACGCTGGGTGGTTGTTTATCTTAATTAGAAACGATACTCGGTATCGCTTCCCTTTCAATTACAAAACGCGGCGGCGATAAGCGCGCGTCGCATAATTCAATCGGGGGGATAAACAGAAAATCGTTTCCGCGCTTCGAGCGTGTTTTCTCGCTGCTTGACGTCGCTTTGCCCGATAGGAAATTATGATTTTCTCTAGACGCTTCGAACTGTTGTTCGCGTTACGTAACAAGACACGATAAACACGTAGATATAGCATCACCCAGTTTCAATTAATAGACACAGTGTCAATGCACTATGTTAATGGTTATTAACTCCGCGACTCGCAGATCGCCGTGTTTATTGAGGGATTCGAGCTTGGACTTTCACTCGTTGGACGAGGCGAATTTTAATCAGTAATCGCTCGGAGTAGTATATGCAGCTTGTTGGAAACGGACGACGCAAATTGCATTGCGCCTCTAATCGTGTCAAGTGTGAGAATTCACGCAGACAACTCGTACACATCCATTAGCCAGTCGCTTCGACCGATAAACGCATTCCGACACTCTGACAGCTGCTGCATTCATTAGCCGCGACGTTTTATAATTCTTAATAAGACTTGGAGTTTCCTTGTCACACGGGCACGGATTAGGAATGTAATGCTTCACCGCGATACATACATATCTCCGTCGATGGCTTCACGCTGGATCTTGCTCGCGATTGCATCAGATCCAGTTTGAATAAATCATTAACGCTGCGCGTAATCGCGTTCACTTCCAGATATGTGCAGTAGCTTCCATTGATGTTCGAATATGTACTCGTGATGTGATTTTGAAAAATGAAATGATACAGGCTTGGCTTTGAAACGAGTCGTCCATTTTATTTCAAAGGCGGCAACGTGAAGACATTTTCCATTTGCGTGTTGTAAATTGTTACAATACGCAAAACTGAAAAGTTAAAAAATAATTTTCATCGTTGAATCTCTGTAATGGACTTGAAGATTGAAAAGAAAACTTGGTGTACAATTCTTTTTTGCCAATTAGTGAATAATGTCAAGTGAAAATGTTACGATTTCTTGAATTTTCGTCGTCTAGGTCCAACATTCATTCGTAGATTCGATCATGGAAAAAAATTTATAGACTCAGTCGTGAAAAAATGTTTCAGTGTTTTTACGTACTATGATAATTTTTTTTTAGAGGAAATCTTCATTTACCATGCCACTATGTGACGTAAAAACATGCATTTGGAAAGTAGAGGTTCCAAGTTTCAAAATGAACCAATCTAAGTATCTTTTCTTTTTACTAAATTGCAGCAATTTAATTCATCAGTTTCAACAGTTTAACACATTGTTGACCAGCAATTTTACGCAGAAGCTGTCTCGTGTCACCGGGTATTATTTCGCAATTGGAAGTGACACGATCTAAATAAATTTCAATGTACTT